GGGTTTTGAAAAACCAAACAAACAACTATAATTTACGAGCAGCACCTCAGTGGAAAAACCGAACACGATGATGATTATAAATAACAATACAGGATGCAGAATAAAGATCTAAACACAAGACAAACCTAGACACCCACTTCCTGGAAACTTGTCTCGGCGCTGCTTTAGCCTCATTGAGCAATTCTTGCTGACAAAATACGACAACATTCATGGCCAGGGGACCGTGGTAGAAAAGGGAATAGGGGAGATATTTTATTAAGTTGTAACATGTTGAAGAGATATATAGAACACCTCGAGTTGCTTTTCAAAGATCCGCGGGCTGTATAAAGAAAACTTGAGTAGACAGTCTCTTGGGAGACATTTCTAGAGGGACTGCACTCGATAATACAATCCTCACGTCACGCATGGCGCCCAATCCCCCCTCCCCCCCTCCACCCGTCACGTTTCGCACCCCGCCCAGCCTCTTTCCAATCTCCGATTACTTCCTTGATGTGAGCTCACAGCTCTTCCCCAGTTTTTGGAAACAACAGCAGCAACAACAACAGCAGCAGCAATAGCAATAACAACAACAACAACAACAACACATAATTTTAACACATACTTACACACATACAGGTACACCCAAATGCATACACAAGTGCACTTTCTCTCTCTCTCTCTCTCTCTCTCTCTCTCTCTCTCTCTCTCTCTCTCTCTCTCTCTCTCTCTCTGTGCGTTTGTGTGTGTGTGTGCGTTTGTGTGTGTGTGTTTATTTGTCAGTGTGTGTATACGCTCGCGCGTGCGTATGGCTATAGCGTAGAGAAAAAACAACAACACGTGTTCTTCTCTTCCAAGTTAGCCTTGGCCTCGCGGGGAAGCCAGAAACAGGTCTCTATTTTTAGCACCAATCTGCGGGACAGGGCAAAGAATTTCGCGTTCGCTCTCTCTCTCTCCCCCTCGCTCTCTCACTCACGCCGAAAAGTTCGTTTGAAACTGTACATACGCTCCTGTAGGAATCAACACGCCACCGAGCAAAGGTACCCCCCAGTAGCAGAAATCCTGCACTGTGTATTTTTCAATGGGAAGATACACGACCACAAGCACAAGGTCAAGTGGACGATGTAAGGCTGTCATTCGAGCTTTTTATGCTTGATATTCCCGCATTTTCTTTAGAAGATACAGTAACTGAATAGTTCCTAAGGTTTCTACCCCTCGTTCAGATTGGGAGTAGGTCTTTGTTTAGAAGAAGGCGCCGTGAGTAAGGAGGACGATATGGGAGCTTTGTAAACATAACATAAGTCGTAGGGATGCGACTCCGGCTTTCATTGTTGTTTTTATTTATTGTTGTTTTTATTTATTCTTGTGTGTGTCTCTCTTTGTGTGTGAGGGGGGGGGGGGGGGGGGGG